TCGTGTCAAATCTCTGACGGTGGACATTGGAGGCGGTATAGAAGACATTATCGCCAACGTGTACTTCTTCGACTTGGAGGACCTCAATGTACGAACGCGGGGGAGGGGGACAGAATGGCACGCGGTCGGCCGTCTTTTGCGCGACGCGAAGAAGCTCAAAACCCTCCGCCTTCGCCGCGGTATAACAGGTACCTTCTTGTCCTCTCTTGCAATAGTTGCTGACACCAGCCAGGTCGCTGGTCCCAGCTTGAGAGCGACTTCCTGCCTGCCTTGGAGAGTTTACACGTCGACTGGACACAAGTCCCCTGCATCTCGGGAGCCCCCCAATTCACGGTGTTCAACAAGGTCACACTGTACGTTCACAAGTACGACGCCGACCACGCCCTGGACGCCGACTACGAGGAGGCAAAGTTCATCTTGTCGCATGAGCATTGGAGGGAGATTGTATTCGTTGAGGACTGGTTCTGGAAGCTCCCTGGTAAGCCCTTACTCGGCCTACATAAGGGTGTTAAACTCAAATTTAACAGAAGCGGCAGCCGGCCGAGTGCAGAGGCGGGCTCATCTGGTCTCAAAACTCGGTCTTCAATCGTTCCCAACCTTCGCATAGGGACTCGCCTACTTTTCATGTACAGCGCGCGCGCATCTTGAACTAAGGGTCCACGAAGACCGCAAATTCTGGCATACTACTTACCCGTCATCGTACCGTATCTTGAGAAAACCATGCGTAAAGTTGAAGGTTGTGATTCAGGGTGCCTTCCGTCATGGATATTGAACGGTACATGTGAGGGTCTCCGCGGAAATTTTGTGACATATGCTTAACTCCAGCAAGTCCCAGTCCGTTGGGACGCACTGAGCCAAGGAGGAAGAGTCGGGAGGCGATTTGTGACGTGTGACGCCTGGTGACAGCGATTCTTTTGTTCTTGACCGTCATGGCGATTGCAGATTACAATGATTTATACCCGCATTATGATATGTGTGGCCTGAGCGAGCTCGCTATCGTTAGGCCCGACTTGCGCGGTATGTGAGATGAGCGAAGCCTTGTTCGCGATGCCTGACAATGCCCCCGCAGCTCTTCCTGTCCCGTTCAAGCCCTTCTTGCTAAAGGAGCAGCTGTTAGCATTTGAAGACCCGGAGCAGCTGTATCCCAACGCGGTCCAGGCTGTGGTGCCTGACTGGAAGGATCACGCCGCTGCCGAAGCTCTGCGCGTTGTAGGACCGTGGGGTGTCCTACGTCCCCCAGGTGAGCTATGTTGTGCTGCCGCGTAGATTGTCGCTCGTTCTTATGCCCTGAAAGGATGTGCCTTCTGTTCGGCAGAGACAGATGGTGCAGTTGTATGCGACAACGATATATACCTGCACGTCCTGGAGCCTTTCGCATCGGCGTGGGGACTGAGCCAGCCCATTGATTGGGTTGACATCGCCCAGCGGCTGAAAATCCTGATTCCCGAAATTCAGGCTATCCTTGACGACAAGAATACGGAGCATTCGAGGCCCTCCGCACACAAACTCCTTTCTTACAAGTTCTTTGAGAGGGCGAGCCCTGGATTGAAAGTCCTGCCTGCGGTGGCTCGGTACACGCAGCACCTGAAAGGCAGCATCCATAGCGCTAGCTATACCGGGTACACCGGGTAGTAAGTCATCAACTTCTGTGGCCGCGCTATGCCGCCTAACAGCAACGACAGCTATGGTCCTCGCGGAATGCGACTGCTCCGACAGTTCCTTGTGACGTCGTTCACGGATGCCACTGACCTGCAGGACGAGATCACTAGCGCGATATACGTCTCGCATCTGGCTGTCCGGCTGGTCATGGGCGACATGAAGTGGGAAGGGGACCTCGGTATGATGAAGGCGTGGCTGCTCATCCTGGAGACACAGCAGTTCGGAGAGGAACGAGACGCCCGAACGCTCGAAGACCCACCGAACTTCCTCTCCGCCTTTGCCTCCATGGCCCAAACGCCAGCCAGCGGCCCCAGCGGTGGATCGGGTAGCTTGGAGCAAGATGGGCTGGGGGTGGAGCCTGCGGTTTCTTTGCAGACAAGGAAGAGCACGCGGCTGAGGAAACGCCCACCTCGCCTGAGCGACTCCGACACCGATGACACCCCTCTTATCACCAAAAAGACAAAGGTCTCGAGAGGCGCCACAAGAGGCAGAGGGAACGCCAAGAAGAGTAGGTAGGGTGGGATGGCTCTAATTAGCGGTGGATGCTGGGCCTATGTATTCCATCAATCGCACGCTGGGGCTGTGGTGAGCCAAACGATGGCGTTGTCCCGCGCAGAGACGTTCCGACCCAAATAAGGAAGTCGGTTGAATTTCGTCCACGCCGTACCCGCCTTGCTGGTCGAATAGATGCGAGACACCGTCGACGAGGCCGATACCCACCCCCTTGTAGCGCGTAAGCAACCCAACGGGCGCCGGTGGTCGTCAGCCAGTGAATGCCTCACTTTTGGGGTCCTGCAGGCCGGCGCATTTAAGCTTTACACTTGCACTCTCTCAATACAGACTGCTCGTAAAGTGGGCCTAAGTTGTCACCGGGCGTGCGTCCCACCCTTCTTGTCTTCTCCCACCACCATGAGCGTCGGCGGGGTCGTTGCAACCGCCATCGCGGCGGCGCTTGGGCTCCATTTCTGTCTCTTCGGCTTTCTACGGCTCGCTCTCCGTCTGCTTGCACCGAGAGACGATTCGACTGCGCCGGTGAGACGTACTACCCCGCGCGTCTCATACGCGACAGCATCCACGCAAACCATGGAGACGCGCGTCTCATACGCGACAGCATCCACGCAAACCATGGAGACAGTGGGGTGCCGGCGGGACACTGACGAGAGGCTTCTCCCCATGGCCGAGAGGGCAGAGGACGAGGGCGACCTGCATCATACCGGCGGTGCTCCAACCGTGCAAGATATCAGCGGCCACCACGAGGGGAAAGGAAACAGTCCGATCGCCAGCCAAGGCATCCTTCCCGGCGACCTGTTGGCTGAGGTCGTTGAATGCTGCCATGAAGCCGATCTCATGAACATTGCTACAGCCTCTCGCGATTTGTGGCAGATCACTCGCAGCCGGCGCTTCAGGACACTGGTCATCAGGCCGCGAAGGTTCTTCTCCTTCGCGAAATGGCTCTACGCGCGCGCAATTGAGAGCAAGTCCCGTAAGCATGTTTGTTGGTTGACATTGACGAAGCTTATTGACGAAGCTTTTGCTCATCTCTTTGTAGCTGCCCAAGCCCTTTACACTCCCATCCCTGGTCTCAACTTCACGATGCCGATCACAGGTACGGCGCTCGTTCTTCACTGCCATTGACTTTCACATCGTCCACAGAGTTCGGCCGTGATCCATTGGACCGCTATGTGCGTACCCTTGTCTTACCGACGCGCTGGACGGAAGGCACCGCTGCGTTTCTGAAGGTCATTGCCGCACTAGCACCCAGCGGGATACACACCTTGGTTCTCGGCGGCAGGAACGAGCAGCATGCATGGTACGCGCAGATGTGGCAGGCCTGGGTACCCGTCACAATGGACCCGCTTCTGAAGAACGTCAAGACGCTAGTGTTTCACGAGCCAACGAACGACGGGCTGCACTTCATCCTCCGTCGGCGGCCCACAGGCGATGGACCAGCGCTCTCAGAGACCGTCCGCAGCATCGAGATACAGCCACCGCAGATGGATTCCGATGGCGCGCCCCCCAACTCTTGGTACGAGCTCTGGTGGGACGAGGGCACTGTCCCAGGGGACGCTGCGGGAGATGAGGACAAGGATTTGCTACTGGCGGTTAGCTCTCTCCACGTCCACCTCGTCGCCGGAATCCGCGGCGTGATGACCGGCCTCCATTTCCCTTGTCTCGAAGCGCTCACACTCGAGTTGACGCTCATGTATGGAGATGACTGGGAGTTTGTGGACCGTCTGTTGACCGAGTGCGCTGACAAGCTTCGCCGACTTCGTGTCATGGCTCGTGAGGAAGCAGGTATGCTGAGACGACCTTTCCTGTACTACAACGTCTGACAGAAAATAGCCTTCGACGATGTCCTCGACATACGCAAGGACCTAACTCAGCTCATTCGCGTTGAGGTCGACTGGCGCGCCCTCACAGCACTCGCTGGCTTGGAACACGTTACCTCCCTCGGAATGGTTGAGGTGATTGTCAGGACGTACGACTCCGACGTAGCCGTCGCGAGCGAGTATGACGAGGCCAGGCGCACGCTGACGACAGGCCATTGGAAGAGGGTCGCTGTCGTGGACAAGCCTTTCTTGAAGCTCCCAGGTATGGTACCCGAATTGTTGCGCGGCAGAAGGTCAAGCTCATCGGCGTCTGTCAGGCCAGGAGAGCATGCGCGAAGACCATCATCAGAACTTGAAGCGGAGGTTGAACTGGTCGCAAATCGAGTTCGAGTAGACTGTGGATTGGGTTTATAGACGCATTTCTTGGAATTTTGTTTCTGTGTACAATACGTCCTAGCTTTCTTGACAACGAGCCCGACGTTCAGCAGATGCACTGCCTCCTGAGCGATAGAACATGCCGCGGAATGCCACAACGGCAATACGGATTTGTGTATGCGTGCACTCGGGTACTTGATCTGCGCGACCACGATGGCTCCGGCTGATTATCGAGATCCTGATGATGAGCTCTCTGCCCGCATCCGCCCAAGAACTATACCGCGCCCGCAGCTACCTACAGGCAACCTCTGGCACTGCCCAGTACCGCGTTGTCAACGACTTATCACACTCGAGGGACGTCGGCAACAGGCGGCTGCAGAATTCCAAGACGAGTTCTTCAGCACCGCGGCGCGGCCCGAGCTTGAGGGGGTGTTTCTAATCTACGTGAAGACGCACTACAGGTTGCGTCGCGCTAGCGTGAATAGCAACCGTTAAGAAAATAAGAAAAGGGACCCTTGCCTGAGCCTTGGCAGTAGAGATGGGAGTCGGGCGATGTTGAAGATCTTCGTCAGACTGTTTCTGCAGATCAGCAAGAAAATCCGAGATTGCCACGGGCCTGCCACTACTGTACTGTATCTACATGTCCCTGGTGAGTACGATTAGGTGGTCAAGAAGCTCGTTCATATGCTCCGCCTGCTTCAAAGTCACGTCCAGCAATTCCCCGCCATTCTCGGGCAAAGGTCGATGTCCGGTAACGAAATGGTACGCGCCACCGTGCGAGTACGGGCAGCATGGACCGGCATGGAACTCGCACGACGGGTTCGGATTCGACGCCGGCTTCTTGCAGCGAGGGCACTCGTTCTTGCCGCAATCCTTGCAGATGGGTTGGTTGCAAGGCTGTGCCCGGCCGTTGGCAAGTTTGCCGCACGCGCAACGCAGGGTGTTGTCGCGGGCGCGGATCTACGGCTCGTTAGCGTTCAGCCCTATGAGCGGCGTGTAACATACAATCTCTTCAAGGCCTGGCTTGAGGAGGGCGCTCAGAACCCGGGCGGTGCGAAGGGCCGTCGCGATGTTCTATGCATCATCAGTATGGTGAGAAGGAAAGACGATAGTGCTTACCTCAGGAGGTGAAGACATGTCGATGTGGTGAGGATGGATAGCGACGAAGAACCGCGTACCTCTTATATGCGACGGTGCCCTCCCTAAGCGCCCATTATCGTCGCATGATCTGCAAGCGACACTGCGAGAGTGCAAGGCGCGAGCACTTCAGTACAGGGAGTGTATCATACCAATCTCTCGCGGGCGCTTACCTTGCCAATGTATTCCGAAGCGCACCGGCTCCAGATCAGCCTCGCATGATTCTCAGGAGGTTTGGTGTCCGTGGGAAGCGCATTGGAAGGTCGCAGCTGGAAAAAGTCAAGGAGGAAGCATATAGGACAAGTGAAGGAAGACTGAGGGCGTCCATGAGTGCCAGAGACGGCCTGGCGCATTTTCAGTAAGTCCTTTACTATGAGTACATACGAGTGTTGATGAAGTGCCCGCTGCCCAACGCGTCTGTTTGCTTTCGTGAATCACATCCTCCGTGCATCGCTGCTGTCGGTCGCAGTTACGGCGGCTGTCCTTCTTCTCAGCGGCAAGCGCCTGCTGACCTTGTGGTCCCAGGAGTAGGCGCGCTTCCCGCGCGTCAACCGGGGTCTTCGGAACCCTGAGTCATTCAGCCCCGAGTGAACGCTAGCTTGCCTGCGCGCGCGTCTTGTGGCCGCTATCGAGGCAAGCCTGATAAGCCCTTTTTACTCACCTGGTCTTGTGAGCTCTCGCAGTCTCCTTTCAAGGCGACCGTTGCAACATCATGAAAAAGTCCAAGGTGAGTTGTGATCGAGCGCACCATATGATGCGGTACGCAGCAGCGTTGCCTGCGAATCTGATTCCTGGCATGGCGACATTTTGCGTTCTGTTCCAGACATCATGCTGCTCCTCTGAGGATCCATAAGCACGCCCGAAGCGTTCACTGAGATTGGCATACCGTGAGGACCTCTGCTGAACGCCCATTGCACCCGCGCTGTGGCGGTTAGCTTGAGGGTACAGTGATTTGTCTTAGCTGAAATTTCAAAATGCGGGGGTGGATGGACGAACTTCACGCAACACTAAGCTGGGAAGCATGGCTCCAACTGACACGAGCAACAGGCGAACGGTGCGCTGAGTCCGTCGTCCCGCGACGGGACGTTTCGCGCCTAAAAAGGCAATCCGTCAGCGAACTCCTGTCAGCGACCATGACGGCGCCCGATGCTTTCAGCTGTGTTTTCAGGTAAACCCGATTGGAGTCTGTGTGTGTCTGCTCAATTCTGTCCAAGGGTCGATCCTACTGAGGACACCGCCTCGGGCGCAACCGGCGGGCGGCCCGTTGCCCTTGATTCTGCCGCACGCTCCCGGCGCCAAAGGAAGAAGGCTGGATACCAGGAAAAGGAAAGGGATGCAGCTCGCCGCCGCAGGTAACCTCTGCCTGCCCTGCGAAGTCGCTGCGTTAATGTTTATCTGATCAGAGAACGCGAGAAGGCCCAAAAGGCAGACTTGCTGAGAGAAGTGGATCGCTTGAGGCGGGCGCAGAGGGCGGGTATGTGGGCCTCTTCAATGATGGAAACACGGCTGACTACCTCAGCTCTGGCAGGCCCTGAGACTCTGCGCGTGATGCGCGAAGTTCGAGACGGCATCAGCGAGACGCAGTTGCGTGAGCTGAGGAACAAGAAACGTGACTTCGAGAAGACGTACGGCGAGTTCGAGCCGCACTTCTTTCAGACGATCCTGGAGGAGCAGAAGTTGGGTCCCCAATCGACCTTCGTTGACCTGGGCTGTGGTATTGGCAATCTGCTTGTGCAGGCGGCCATCCAGAGCGGGTGCAGCGCCTTCGGCATCGAGCTGCGAGACGAGCTCATGGGCACGGCTGAAAGCCTCAAAGATAGGGCCCTGGCCGTCTGTGAACTGCACGGCATCAGCATGGGAAGCGTCACCATGGCATGGGGAGACATGGTCAAGACTCCGGCGGTCAAGGAGTGGATGAAAAAGGCCGACCTCGTTGTTGTGAATAACCTGAAGTTCTCAGCGACGTGTGAGGCTCCTGTCCACCTGCTCATTTGCAACACATGTCTGACTGTCGTAGTGAACCTGCAGATCTTGGACTCATTCCTTCCGCTCATGAAGCATGGTGCATGCGTCATAGCTACTGACCTGTTCATCAGCGGCAAGCAGACGCGACACGGGCAGTACAAGGTTGTGAAAGCGGGCTTTTTGATATACGTCCGTCCATTCTCCATGCTGAAGTATACTCTAACGGTCATCTCTCATGCAGGAGTACCCTGATCAGAGGACGCTGGAGGTGACAGAGCGGAAATACCCCGAGCGGTCCATGTCGTGGACTAACTCTTCAGCCCCATACTACATCCATCGCGTGCATGACCCAGCAATTGCCCGACGTCGGCAGGAACAACTGGGGAAGGTCTATACCGGGTCCGACCTTGGGAGCCACGCAGCATAGTCGACACTGGCCTACAGCATGAGGCAATATATTTTGTTCCTTCTGAGGAGGCTAAGCACGCCCTTCATTAAAGCCCCACACCGACGCACCTGACATACGCGGCAATAGCAGCAGCAGGTACGTTTGCATGCAGATTTGTGGCTCCATGTCGTCAGGCAGTGGTGAGGCTGGCTTGTGCACTTACAGCCCGGACGCTTTCCGTCGAGGGTGCGCTTTTCGTCCGCCTTCCTTACTTGGCGAACATTTCCCACGCCACTGCAGCCGTCCTTGGTTTCCTTACCTCGGTTATCAACTTCCAGACATATCCAGCCCACAGCTCGTCAATGTGAACCCCTTATCCTAGCCTGGGGTTTTCCTCCCAATAACCAAAAGCTTCGGTTTATCATAAGCACGTCACAGGACGATGTGACCGTGACAAATCGGCGACCGGCTGATGTGAAAACACGGTCGCCTTCTCCTGACATTCCAGACCGCCATCTGACCTGACATCGTCGCAGACATGGACTCCCGCACGTCTCTCACCACCTCCGAGAAAATATGGTTGCAGCGCAATGTGCCTGCTGATCAGCGGCGCAATAGGGAGGCTAAGTCAGCCGTAGCTCACTTGCTCCCCCTCCGCGATGAGGAGATACGGGTTTCCAGCAAGCAGCTTGAGAAGGTAAGCCCCAAGTGTATCATTGTAGCTGGATGTACTGCGCTGACACAGATATCAGGCCGTAAAGGCATACTGGAGGTCGATGGAGGATCCCGACGGCTCAACCGCGAATCGGCACGGGGCTATCAATGGTTCAACCAAGAAGCCCTCGCATGGTAATGGCCGCTCGTCAGGTGGCGTGGACGAAGAACAGGAACCTGAAGAAGACGGCGGCGATGGTCCAGATGGAACGAAGCAGAGGGGGGAGCGGAAGGGGAAGACGAAGGGAAAGGGGAAGGGGAAGGGGAAAGGGAAAGGGAAGGGGAAGGTGGATGAGGGTGGGAACATGGAGGAGGAGCAGGAGGAGCAGGAGGAGGGGGAGATGGCGAGAGCTAAGGCGAAGGCGAAGGCGAAGGCGAAGGGGAAGGCGAAGGGGAAGGAAAAGGCGAAGGAGAAGGAGAAGGAAGAAGCTGACTCCGGCGGCCAAGGAGAAGACGACAGGGATAAGACGGAGGCGGTCGAGGACGAGGACGATGAGGACGACGAGGTACTGCACGGGCCGGCTAAGCCCTCGTACCACACGCATGTCACGTGGTGCGCCGTCTCCCGCCACAGTCGCCCGGAGGTGTGGGACAGGGTCCGCCGACGGCTCGCTAGGGAGACGCCTGGTACGCCATTTCAGATAGAACAAAAAGTCAACAAGGAGATCCGCCACGAATTCACGGAGGACGAGGTGGAAGCCTTCAAAGCTAGAGCCCGAGCAATCAACATCGGCCAACCGGCCAAGCAAGACCGAACATGGTGTGCCCTACGTGCTGCTGTTCTTTCCAACTAATCTGATCGCCTCTCAGGTTTCGCAAGAGTCACTGCCGACAGACCATTGCGCGCTTCTTGAATTGGGCAATGGAAGTTGGTGGTGTGGCTGTTGTCGGGGTTGCTGCTTGGGTCGACGAAGAAAGTGGAGAGCTGGAAATGGTCAAGTCAGTGGCAGCCTGTTTTTCATACATCTTTAGCGCCTGATCAGTGCACAGTGTCGGACCCAACGTCAAGAACGGCCCGTTGTTCGCGGAGAAGGAGAAAAATTGGCTGGCACGCGGCCAGTTGTCAGACCGCGTCAAGGGCTGGGCTGCCGAGATCTTCGGACTAGAGGACGGTGACGATGGCATCGCCGCAATGGGCGACCAGATAGAAGGCGGTTCTTTGCCGAGTTGGGCTCAGGTCAAACGTCGTCCTCGTCACTACCCGAGATTGCTGGCGGACCCTCCTGACAGCGCGAACACGAAATTACTGCGAAATGTGATCAGGCAGTATATCGCCCACGCCATGAGTAAGGTTCGCCGCTGGCAAAGGTTTCTTAGCTCATCTGTCTGATAGGCTTTCACAATCAATCCAAGGCCACTCGTTGGAGCCACCTACGGGCAGAGTTGGATCCCAGCGCGTTTCCGGAGCCTGCTCCCGAGAGAGGCTCTGACCCCTACGCCATGGACCCATCCAGCATGAAGAAGGAGCCTATGCTCAAGTTCATTCGCCATTGGCTCCAGGCGCAGGAGGGTGGCAGCATGCCCGTTAAGCCCTTCGTCAGGAAAGCATCTGGTGCGACTGCCCGCACGTCTGGATCGAGAACGCAAGCCCGCCGGAAGACGAAGGCCCCGTCCGATGGATCCGGGTCGTCGTCTGAGGAGGAGCCAGCGGAGGAGACAAGCGACGAGGAGGAGGAGGAGGAGGACGAGGACGAGGACGAGGAGGAAGGACCTATGATAGGACAACGGTACGCACCCATGCACCCCTTCGCCTCGCTGGTTTTGACTGCTTTAGGACGAGAAGGTCGAACACGACTGCCAAGTGAGTTCTGTTGCCGCCCGACATATCGTGTGACTCACAGGACATACAGGTCTCGTAGCGCGGGTCCCAATAGGCATCAGCCCCAGAGTACTGCGTCGCTCCTACTTGAGAACGACATGTCCATCGGGCAGCGCGCCAAAGCACTCATCAAGCGCGCGAAAGAGACTTCGAACCGTGTCGCGGCTTTAGTGGCCGTCTACATGGTTCAAGTCTGCTTGGTGAGCAGCAACAGCGACATCTGGTATTTGTGTTACTCATGGCTGCTTGCTTTATATTGCGCAGGAGCATCCGAATGATGACGGAATCCCAGAAACCTCTCTAGACTTCCGTTTCCAGGACATCTTTTTAATCACCAACCTGGGCGACGTCTTGCAGGTATCCGTGTTCACCAGCGGGAAAGCGCAGCAATACGTGGACTGGGTTGTGAAGGCTAAGCCTCACCTTCTGGGCACACGCCCCCAAAAATGGGCTCGGAAGGTTATTGTGATGGCCATCGCTACGGGCTTGCTTCACCTCGCTATCGACAGCCAAGGCTATGCAGAGGTGGAGCCTGATGATGAGCACAGTCCTTATTATCCCGGCGTGGGTTGGGAGATCAAGGACCACGAAAAGCTGATAGCCGGCATTCTCAGGGCGCTGCACACTGGTCCGGACAAGGACAGCCTCAGCCCTTGCCCGAAGACCACCGCCGCCCTAGCAAAAGACCGACCAGGCGTGCGATTCGAAGACTACGTTGACTCTCATGCCAGCGCGCGCGAGCACGCTGCCGTGGCGGCCATGCGTCAACGCGCAGGCGTGCACGCCGGCGGTGCCAGCGGTTCTACTCTGTGAGTCGCGCGCTTCGGGGTGTGGGAGCGGACTGAACTGGAAATCTGCAGAGCTAGCAAGCGCAAGGCCGCCACGGACAGTCAGCCGTCGAAAGCCTCCAAACGGCCACGCAACGTCCAGGATGTGGATGATTCGTAAGTGTTCATGGGAGGGCATAGATAATCCCGGCTGAAAGAGTTGCAGGCCGGACGTGCAGATGGAAGAGCAGGAGGTTTCCATCCCTCCGCGAAAGTTGAGGTACGCCCCCATGTATGCTTCATGTCTCAAACATGCTCTGAGTAAGGAACAGGTCCGAAACCAAGAGGGACGACTCCGTTGCACAGCAGGGGGTCAGAACATTGTACGCAGCCGCAGCCCCATAACCGTTCAAGCTCACGTCTAAGCACATTCACAGGCGGAAACGCACACCCACTGCCAAGGCCGCCGCGATGCAGCTGAAGCGCTCCAAGAAGTCGAAAGGCCCTTGAGCGCGTTTGCTGTCTAGGCCTGCCCTCTTTTGTACAGTGGTCTAGGTCTTCTAGTACTTTGATTGGGATGTAGCTCGTGCCGATGCAGATATATGTACATTTGCCCATGTCATCTACGGAGGGACCGCTAAGACAGAGGCAGTGCAATGGCTGACTGGCTACTGGGGCTATACCCCCATTTAGGAAGTACAAGCTGGGAATGTGCCTGGCGATCACAGATTCGTGAGAATTGATGGTATGACTTGTGCCCGATTTGGCATAATCACGCAAGCCATTCACCCATCACCCTCTTCATCCGTCCCCCGTCGCTCGTCCTCGCAGCATATACAATAATGTCCAGAAGCCGAAAGGGTGGGGGTTTAACTCCCATAGCGCAGGGCAGCGTCGTACGTAGCATGACAACCAGGCGGACGCCGGGGGGAAAGGAAGTTTATATGGAGAGGGAAGATTTCGTGCCCAGCCCACGTCTCCGCAGCCCCCAGAAGGGTCAGCGGCGGCCCTTGAGCGGGAGTGGTACGACTACACCCCGCAAACGGGGCCATATCGGGAGTCCCTCGCCTTCGCCTCGAAAGAGACGGACGGCGGTAAAGGTGCGTGACGTATACTGTGCAGAGATGTCCGTTTAACGAGACTGCAGACTTCAAACGATCACATGCGCGCGTGGTTACATAGACGGGCAGCCTACGAGGACGTCCTCATGCGTCGATTCGAGCCCAGCAAGCACAAGTGTCAATGCGGCGCAGCTACTGCTTCATACCTCTGCGAGACCTGCTTGGGGCGTAAGAGGCAATGCAGAGGCTGCATCCTTCGCGAGCACGCGTCTATGCCCTTCCATCACATCCGAAAGCATGACGGTCGCTCTTCAACGGCTACCGACCTTGGCGCGTTAGGCCAAGTTATCTGGCTGGGCCATGGAGGAGAGCCGTGCCCGGCCACCCTCGCGCACGTCCGGCTTCCTATGGACGAGCGTTGGTGTGATGAGGGGGAAGAGGAGGAGGACGGCGATCTCAGTGACCTCCTCAGGGACTGTGACCTGCGACAGGGACATCGTTTAATTATCGGTGATGTTGAGGGTATCTGGTGTCGTACGGTATACTGGTGTACGTGCCCCACCGCGGAGGATAAGGATATCCAGCTGCTGCACACCGGATTGTACCCGGGTACCGAGGATGAGCCAGCCACTGCGTTCACGTTGACGATGCTGGATGACTTCCTCCTATCGCAGTGCGAGGGTCGGATGTCTGCCCAAGGATATGTCCAGAAGTTGCGGAGGATGGCCAACCCAGCGTTCCCTTATCGAGTTTCGGTGAGTGGGGAATATACGCGATAAGTGACCTTACTAACGAGGCGTAGGATGTCTATAGACCATTCCTGCGCGCCATGCGTCAGTATACGAACATGATCACGAGAGCTAAAGCAGGTGTCGCTCACAAGATTCGGAGAGATCAAGTCCACATAGCTAGACCGCCGGGAGATCTGGCTTGGCGCTGCCCAGCATGCCCCCAGCCGGGATATAACTTGCCTCCAGAAGACCAGAGAGACGCAGACCATCCGTACGTACCTTGTCGCTCCGACGAGGAAAACAGTGGACTCAACATCCAGTCAGAGAGCTTTACATGCCCATGTTCACGCACGACGGTTGCTTCAAGTTGAACAACCAGCGTACCCGCAATCCCGACGCTGACGTGCGCCTCAGCGATGGCGAGTGCATGCTCGTCGGGAGCAGGCAATACCAGACGCACCTCAAAGTGACCAAGGAGCCCGCCAATGTACGTGCTCTGACCACCGCCCCACCTGTCATCCACGTGACAATTCACTGCAGAGGAAATCCTGTCAGAATCACCGGGCGGTTGCCAGCAGTCGATCGAGAGATCGCAACTTAGCTGCCAGTGGAGTGGGCACATACGCCTGTGCCCGTCATGGTCTGTTCATCCCGCACACCACCGTTGATTACCAGAAAGGCGAAGCGTGCGTACTACAGTCGGAAAGTCGCCAGCATCCCCTGATGGTATGACTGCGTAGGCAAATGAACACAGACTACTCAACCTCATGCCTCATAGAAGGGTTGTCTGCAGAAACGCACAAGATCCTCATCGCCTACGACATCATGTGTGAGTATATCGTCAACCTCAAGACGCGCCTAACCGAAGGACCCTACCTTACCAACCGTGCGATCGACATTGAGGCCGCTGTGGGCAAGTTCCATCTCGGCGCACACATCCGAGAGTGCTTCGCCAAATTCTCCCCCAACTTCATCAAGGGAGCCGGCCAGCTGGACGGCGAGATCCTGGAAACGCTCTGGGCAACCCTAGAGAAGCTGGCCTCCAATACAAGGAGCATGTCACCCGCTCATAGGCAGGAAGTTCTTGATCTGCTCATGAACGACATGAACTGGAAGAAGATCATTCAACTAGGTGGGCGACAAACGGCCGCAGTGAATGATTGACTCACAGGATGGTCGCCTCACGCAGCCGACGTCCTTAAGAAGAAGGCGATGAAGGCCTCCGTCGAGTGCAAGCACGCCCGCGCCGCGTATGAGGAGCTCAAGGACACACTATCCGATCAGCAGACAGCTCGGTGGCTACAAGAGGAGCGTGAGTCCTTGGAGGAGGGCCGAGAGGGAAAGAGCGTGTATGACATACGAGAGGAACAAGGTGAGCCTTGCATGACGGGTCTGCATGCGCCCTTATGGACTGCCGTTTTAGTCCCCGGTGTTGCGGAGCGCGCCCTCGCAGTAGCGAGGCGGTATGAGGATGATGATGTGGAGGAGCCTATCGGGTTAGAGTTGCTGAGGGAGGCCATGAGGATTGAGAGTGTGCAGTGCGTGTCTAGAATGTCACGATGACACTGCGTTTTCTCACAAAGACAAGGGACAACCTACTTCCTCTGGCTAAGCAGCAAAACAGGACGGCCTCGCAAGAGCGTCAGCTGCTGCTCAGACGGGGCAAGCTACACAAAAGGATTTGCAAATTCGAAACACGGATCGCGAAGGTTCTCGATGCTGCCCCCGTGGAGGGCGAGGTTGACTTGGGAGACGAAGAAGTGGAGGAATGGCTTGGAGATGAAGGGGAAGCAGAGAGCGAAGGGGAGGTGGATGAGAGGGAGGGAGAGGGAGAGGATGAGGATGAGGACCCCGACGCGCCTGACGTCGGGCTGCCAGAGCGCGAGCGGCTCACTCTGCCCTCGACCACTGGGCACATCACCGGGGAATTGGCCGACTTGGAGAGGGACCTTCGGGACGGCCAACGAGCGGATGCCCTGCGAGGCGTTAGGCTAGGCCTCGCAGAGAGAGCCCGCTTGTATCGCACCTCCGTGCGTCGCGGCCGAGGGAGTCACAAGACGACTACAAGGGCTTTTGCAGCGTTACGTAAGTCAGGCGCACGCATCGCCCGCCACGTGCGGATGTACCACCGCGCCCGCGACGCCCTAATCGCCCTCGGCAAGGACGAATCGCAGCTACCGAAGATAGATAGTCAAGACCTCCGCATCAACAAGGACTGGACAGAGGAGAACAGGACAGGCCAACGCTCCCATACCTTACCCTGGTTCTGGCGGGTCGGCAACAGTGCGGCCGCGGAAGATGGGACAGAAGCCGCTGGTGTCCATGATCGTAAGCGGGACCAAAGAGCGTTCTTTTGGATACTGATTGGTACTGCAGTATACAGAGTGAGCTTCCTGCGAGCCAAGTGCCGACTGGAGCGATGGGAAGAAGAGGAGCGTCTGGTAAGCCACGAGATGCTGTGGACTCGGCTAGCCTTCGAAAAGCAGCAGGGTACATGGCAAGCGGCAGGGGACGCTGCGAGGCCGTCCACAGAAGGTGCGGGATGGGCTGCGTATGCCTATAACCAAGCGGACATGTGGGGCTCGTTGGCGACTGAATGCGTGACAAAGTTTCAGGACTACGCGGGAACCCTTCCAGGGTGGGAGCCGAGCAGTAGGTAGTAGCTATGATCCATGTACCATGTACATAACCTTGTATCTCCATTGACAAAGTATGAAGGTGAGTGCGTGCCATTGTGGCTGAGAGAGCATGGGCCATCAATGTACCGGCCAATAATGGGTATCTCCCCAGCTTGGCTGGAACCGGCGAGCGCACACGCGGTGGACGACCTGAGGTGGAGCCGCCGCCGAACCGCGTTGGCTGCATCTCATATGGCGGTGCAGGCCCAGCAAAAAAGCAGCGTCTCACATGCAGCCGGCGACTCCGCATGACGTCGACTCTCTTAACACCAGCACCTGCACTTGACACGGCGCCGGCGGCCCAGCCTGTCAAACCAGGTGGGGTGGCAGCCGCCGGCCGGCCGCCTGTGCCGCACGAGCTGGACTAAACTTGGCCGGCCAGTCCACTTCATGTGGTGTGTAATGGAAATAAGGGTCTGCTGCTAAGGTGCGTCCATCTTCTGCCGCTTATTTGTTGTGTGGGGCTAACCCAAGTTCCATCTCAGATGTACGTCTGGGACGCCTCGGCGTCCGGCTTCTCTCAGTACGGTACCCAAGGCCTTATGGTCGAGGGTATGTACGGAGCGAACCCGATTGCCACGGCGCTCGGGGAAGGTGCGAGTGCGATCTTCGATCGCGCGAACACCCTCGGACGCCAGTCGTACGGGGACGGCGAGTTCGATCTAGGCGTGGTCGTCCATAGCCTGGCGCAGGTCACGGCGGTCCTGAACGCGTCCGCCTTGAACCTTGGCGCGCTGTGCGCTGCACACACCGCGATGGACGGCACGCGCCGCACTCTTTCGAAGGTGTACCGCCGCGCGACGGCGCGCGAGGTCTTCAGCAAGTTCGACGCGGTACGTGGTCTGAATCGATGTGTTTGTAATGGTACTCATTCGAGCTTATAGTCGGACGACGAAGGCGTGCCGGGCTCGCGTCGCACGAGCCGTTCTACAGGCTCGGAGACGGTGCAGAAGGTCGACGATGAGGCGCGCGCGAAGCGCGATGCTTCTCCGGCGACCGCTGCACGCGCCGAGGCGGCGTTGACGAACGCTCTGGCCGCTGACTCGGAGGCCGAGCTGGACGACGCCATTTCCGAGGCTGGCAAGGCCAAGGCTCCTCAGGTCACCGAGGGAGCCAGCAACGCTGCCGAGGCGATGGAGGTCGACAACGTCGCCCCCAAGAAGAAGGAGGCGTCGCGCTCGTCCAGCCGCGCTGCGAAGAAGTCCGGCAAGCCCACCACGCGCTCGAGCGCGAAGGAGACGGAGGAGGAGACCCCCGCCATCGCTACACTGCCCGCTGCGTAGGCGGCATGGTCTGGATCGTTGACTTGCGCGTATACCCAGTCATTCGTTACGTCCAACGTTCGTTTTCCACTCGCTCTGACCCTTACACCGCCTGGTGTGGGCTGAGCTGAGCTTAGTTTATTTATTTTCTGTAGTCTCGCGTTCGGGACGCGGCACCACACTCGTTTACTATCAGATAGCCGTGTACTTAGGACTGTGTAGTCGAGGCATACCCATTCAACAAATTTTGTTTTGTTCTCACAAAGTCCGAGCCTGAAATCGTCTGAACCGGCAATACCAGAGCCTCAGAGAACTCGTGGACATTGCGGTCATCAATCCAGACCGACTCGTGAAGAGTTGTACCCGGTGCAGCGCTTGTGCGTACACCTTCGGTGTATGGCCCTTATTTTGCCATTTTATTCATCTCCCTCTGCCCACCTGCGGCACGGACTTTCTCCGTAGGCTTGATGGTCCTCCGGGACCGGCGCTCGCCAGGTTCGGGAGTTGGGGAGGGTTCCCTGTCCGGGGTTTCGTCGGGGGCGTCGTCCAGGAAGCCCGGGGGCTCACTGACTTCGATGCCTTCCGACTCGGACTGGTGGTCGTCGTCCTCACGGTCCCGACGATCAAGCTCGTCTCGGCTGTCCGGTCGTCCCTGCGCTTCGACTTCTGGCCCATCAGGGAACGAGAAGTCGGGTAAGGGTTGCGCCGGCATAGCGTCGTCGATTTCCTTGAGAATTCCGTCGTCCAAGTCCGCGAGCCCGTCAGGACTCACTTGGGCAACTTCGTCCTCGTCCGGCTCGTCCGAGGCCATGAGTTTCTCGAGCTCGTCCGGAGACAAGTCGATTAATGAGTGTATTTCGTCGGGCAAGGTTATAGAGGCCCGAGAACGGTAGGGCAACACTCTAAATGCTCCGACCTTATTTTGAAAGACGGTTCCGTCTAGTTCTGCCACAATATAAGAGCCACCGAGCGTCCGCCGTATGACCACCATGGGTCCGTGGTAGCGTGGTAGCATCTTGTCACTGTGTGATTTCTCGATGCGAGTATTCCGGACCAGCACTAAGCTGCCTGGTTTAAAGTCGAGCAGTTTGATAACATGCCCGTATTCGCGTTCATAGCGGTGAAGGCGCTCAAACTTTTCCTTCTCGATTCGAGAGCGGACAAGGCCTACTTCCGCATGATGTTTCGCTAAGGCTCGGGCCCGGTACCCAATCAACTCCTCGCGCGTAAGTGTGCGCAGGGGATAGTCAATGAGCCAGGTCGCTTCGGCGATGTCAAATGGCAGGAGCGGGTGCGCTCCTGTCACAAGGAAATATGGCGATACTCCGAGTCGCTTCCGTAAGGTTACGCGGTCGGCCCACCACACAAAGTGTAGGTGGTTATACCATTTGTTTAGCTGCGGTCCGCAGGCTTTCGCTAGCGACTGCCGGATATCCCAATGTACTTGTTCAACTTTTCCATTGGCTTGAGAGTTATAGGCCGATATGCGGACATGGCGGACGCCATACTCTTTAGAAATCCAGCGCATAGCGGACTTCATAAGGGACGCATTATTGGTCACGATTTCCTCGGGACAACCCCATCTACAGAGTATTTCCTCGAGTATGAATTTAGCTATAGTAACCGCGTTCTCAATGCGAAGCGCGCGGCCTTCCAGCCAATTAGAGAGACTGTCCCTTGCATGGACAATGTATTTGAAGCCTCTCGATGCGGGCGTCATGTGCATGGTGTCTATGTGGACGACCTGGAATAAAGATGGCGTGAAAGTTACCACCGGCGGTATGCGCGCTAGTGCTTTCAAGCGTTCTTGACAAGGGTGGCACGTCTGTATGAACCACTCCACGTCTTCGTTCAGTCCAGGCCAGTAGAACCGTACTGACAGTAGTTGTTGTGTCGCGTACACTCCTCGATGGCCTAAGCTATCATGCGCTTGTTGCAGCATTTCGATGCGCTTATTTTGTGGCACATAGAGTTGTGGTAGCTCATCGCGTTCGACGCGATAGAGTTTCCCACCGGATACGACATAATTTCTTCGCAGCCGCTCGGCGATCGGAGCCGCGAGGTCGAAGGCGGACTTGTTTGTGGCAAAGTCCGGGTTTTCCACCCATCTGAGCCAGGTCTCGAGATCCTGATCAAGAAGTCGGTGTTTATTCTTCCGCGACGCGGTAGGATACTCCACAAGCTGCTCATATATGGAGAGGGGGTCGGGCGTATGGATCGTCATGCAATAATAGTCGCTAGACTCTCCGAACCCGGCGTCCTTCAGTTGTGCAGAGCGTATGCGATTAAATTCCGCTGTTTCCAGCTTAGCACGCTCTAGCTCGACGTCGAAGTCCCCCACACCATGAGCTATTCCCTCAGGTAGTGTTTGTTCGACCGCCCAAGTGGGCAAAGGGTGAGGCAATCCCTCGGGGATTGACTCAGAAGAAATTAGCGTCTGGACTTGGGTTGGCTCGTCGCGTCGCCTGAGTCCGTCGGCCATTTCCGAAAGGACCAGCTCGGCAACTGCCGACGCGTCCGTTGGCTTTAAGTGGTGGTATTTTTCCAGTTCCTGCACCAGATGTTCCTTGCCCGTGGCCTCGGTACGCTCGGACCCGGAGGGTCGAACGACGGAGACTGGACCGCTTTGGAGGTACAGTACGTGGGGTAGCGTCGCGGTGGCACGGTCGGACTTAGGTACGGAGTCGCCGGCAGCTAAGTACTGCTCGACGTCCCCTTCCATTCCTGGCCACCACATGCGACTGGAAATGAGGGCGAGTAATTCCTCGGCTTCCCCATTAATGCTAGCCTCGCGCGCGGCGTTCATAATGAACCACCGGTCGCGCGGCCATATGAGTAGAGCGGTGCGACCACCCTGTAGTATCTTGTAGATTCGGCCGGTCTTTGTCATGCGATACTCAGTAGCGAGCTTGCATAATTGTTCCCAGCGCTCCTCGGTGATATCCACCGGGTTCCAGTTGAAGTAATCGCGTAGGTCCCATAGTAGATCATCGAGCTCAAGATATTCTTTCGAACGCGGGAACTCGCGATATTTCGCTAGAGTCTCCTCGTCGTTCAGGTTCAGGATCGGGTCCGGTAGGCGGATAGGACCTTTCCGTCTAGAGGGCTCAGCCTGGTTAAATACGAACAGACCGGGCGCGCTCTGAGTGATTTTAGGATTAAGCCATTCATCCTTGAATTGGGTAAAAGCCTCCTTAACTCGACGAGCCTTCGCAAAGACCTTGTCTCGATCTAGCTCGTCAAGTTCGGTATGGAGGTAGCCTCCGCGTGTATCGATTTTATCTCGGAAGTCTTCGATAGGCAAGGTGTCGTCAGGCAGACCATCCTTGACTTCGAATCCATCCAAGCCTTGTGGCTCATCTTCCTCCTCGTCCGCCGGGTCTCGCACTGGATCTCCTTGCTGCCACGGTCGCCGCGATAGTGCGTCCGCGATCGCATGGGATTTTCCAGGTACATGGCGAAGCGTGAAGTGGAAGAACAAGACTTGCTCGATCCACCGGTTGACGTTGGCGTTGGGGCCGCAGCCTGGATTACTGAGCATGCCCTTGAGGAACTTAGCATCAGTCTCCACGACCAGTTTCCGGCACCCAACAAGCCAGTGATACGCGCTCTGTAAGGCCTTCATGACGCCAAACAGTTCACGCTTAGGTTGAGAGAACCTAGCCTCTCGCTCTGTCAAGAGCATTGATCCGAAGCGACAGTAGTAGAACTCCTTTACATCACTCGGATTTATTTGTAGGATGAACCACCCAACCGCTATATAAGATGTGTCGACGCCGAGGACAGTGTCCCAGTCGGTCTTATAACTGACGGGTTTCAACGGCGGACTCTTTAATAGAGCGGTCTTTAGCTCATTTTGCGCGTAGCTCTGAGGTAACTCCCACGCAAAGGGTACGCCATTTCGCGTGAGCATCACCAAAGGGTCTGCCTTGACAGCGTAGTCCTTTATGAACATTCGGAAAACGCCGGTGAGGCCGAGGAACTGCCGGACTTCAGAGACGTCGTGGCAAGGGCCCCAGCGCTCAATGACGCCTACGCGGTCTTCCTCCGGTCGTCGGCCCTCGTATGTGCACAGATGTCCGACGACTAGTATTTGAAGGGCTATCAAAAGCGACTTAAGACCCGAAAAGGTGCCGCCTGAATATCCCATATGTTGTAACACTCTGTTGACGTTGAGCAAGTGCTCCCAAACAAAGCGTCGGATGCCTGGATTTTCCGGGATAGTCTCAAAAGACCCGTCCGGAAGTTCATAGCGGGTTTCCGGTCCTCGTATCGGTACATCATCGATATACGGAATCGTTATGTCCGGTATAAGAGGCCGTAGGATAGTTGTGACATCGTCGTGGAATATAGGGACCGCATTAGTCCATCCCATCGGCAATGTACGAAGTCTAAACGCTCCGAAGGGCGTCTGAAAGGTAGTCAAGTCGCGAGAGGACTCGGCGAGTAGCCGCTCATCGTAACCGACATACAAATCAAGTATACCGCCACAGGCGCGACCAGCGAACCAATTGGCTAGATCGTCGGTCGCCGGAGGTACACCTGAGTGCGCGATAGTAACCGCATTTAAGGGCTCGAGGCTATGGACCAGTCGGAGGCTCTTGCCGTCCTTCTTAACCACGCAGAACCACTTCGAGCGGTAGGAAGAATTAGACGGCTCGTACACGCCAGCCTTAATCTTCTTGAGAATAATCGCACAGATTTCCTCGTACAATCCAGGCGGAATGGGGATATTGCGCTCTACCCAAGGCTTATGCGGTACGACCGGTATTGAGACAGGAGGGAAGAAGTCCTCACGGAAGCTTCCTCGCTGCTCATCGTTCCAAGCAAAGGTCTTGTTGTGGGCGCAATACATCCAATCCCTTAGTTTACATTCTTCTGGCGAAAGCAGGTCGCCGTGAAGTTTATGTACCTGTTCCCGATGCTCAGCGGTATATCTTCCGGTGGGCGTGAACTCGGGTGGATTCGTAGGCAGTTGTGGCATATCCTTCTCAGGATCGCCGAGGATGTGGCGCTCGATG